GGAGTCTCTGCAAGGCTTCGAGGTTGCTGCGCAAGTGTCGAATCAGAGGTTCGGAGCTTTCAACGGGTTTGGGGCTCGGAGCTGCAAGCCCGTGATGGCCGCGTGGACTCTTAGCGGAAGCTGCCTTAAGTGCAGCAGCGATGTTTTCTCGCCCTTCCCTTCCTGCAGAAAGCTGCTGAACTTGTCGTGGATGCCACCGCTTCGTGAGGCCTGGACCTCCGAAACGATTGCCCTCAGGCACGGACGGCCGGGATGGGTTTTCACCTCGAGTTGAGTCGGAGGCTGCTGTGCTGTGGCTCTGTGTGATGTCTGCAACACCTTTGGGGTCCGCCGCCAGGCATCTGTTCATGGAGAGCCACAGCCTGCGTGTTCTGGGCTGAGTCGCCGTGCTCCAGTGCAGACCAGCACAGGGCCTCGGACCCTAGCCCTGCCTTCCTGCCTTGTCCCAGGCCCTTGGCGCCGTTCTGCGCTGGCTCCGGTGGTCCCATCGATGGGCGCCACAGGCGATTTCTCAGACCCAAGACTGCTTGTTTCCGCACACGGCCTTACAGGCGATCGTGCCAGCTTTGTCTTGTCTTTCTTTGCACACATTGAAGTACAGCACGCATCCATCGGTAGGTGCGTGCACATTAATGCATCTGTGCCTGCGTGGATGTAGTCTTCATGCTCAACCTCTCTGTCTCTCCGTCTCTCTCTCTCTCCCTCGCTGCCCTCTCCCTCTACGGCCTCCCTCCCTCGCTAGCTCTCGCTCTCGCTCTGGCTCTGTCTCTCAGTCTCAGACATACACATATCACTTTGTGAGCGTGCTAGATGTTCATGCCAAGCGGCAGTGCCTGTACTATCAAACGAGTTGGTGCAGTCATCATGTCCAACTGCCGTCATCTTTGTGTCACCTATCCTACTGTTGCTGCTCTTTTCCCGAAGCCATTTCCATCGTGACGATTGTGGGAGCAAGCAGTGTAGCATGTCAGCCTGGGCACCGGTGCCACTGACAGGCTCATAGCTCTGTTGAGGACGGCTTTGTCTACACCGTAGGGAGCCTGGAAGCTTTTCCGGACGATACGGACTGCCACATGTGACCATGCTGTTGGCGATCATACCAACAGCTTGCAGGAGATTCTAGGGGTCTGAACTGAGAGGGTCTTTAGTGGTATCGCATCCAACTGCCAGCAGGAATCGCACTGCTCGGAATCAGGGTATCCAACGACTAACAACGTCACCAGCTCCCCGCTTCCTTCATTCCCGAGGCAGGATACGACCGCACGCGCAGAGCGCTTCAGCTGCACGGTCGACTACCAGCTCCTTTCCAGGAGCGATTTGGATTTTCTGTGCTGTGGCATTTGATTTTGGGGTCGAGGCTCTTGCAGGTTTAGGGTTGCTTAAGGTTGATTCAGTGCAGGGTGTGCGGATTACTGGGGTAGGGAGAGAGTTCTCAACCCCGAAGGCAGGCATGTGGGTGTTCCTGGCAGGCCAGACAGAGCCGAAACTTGCCCAATGCCAGGAGGGTTCTCTTCATCCGGACGGCCCTCTGCACCACGGAGAGAAGACGGGAACCCAGCATTGCTAAGGTGCTAGCAAGGCCGCAAATGATTCTGATCATCGTGATCACTGTGAGAATATTTGCTACTTTCCTTCCGTGATTACTCGAAGTACTCCGAACGCAGCCGCTCTTACTGTTTAGGGTTCTGATCCTCTCCTCGTCCGCCTCCTCATTATTTCCTCCCGCCGGCTCTGATTGCTCTGGAGGTTTCAGTGTGCGGACATTGAGGACGAGCGGCAGCTTCTCGCCGACCTCTGGACCGTGGGATTTGCGGAGCAAGCGCTCGATTGACCAACTAGGAAGATGCAATCAGAGGCGAGAGAGAGCTCAAGAGTTGTCCTTGAAGTGAAGCTGGAGCATCTCGGCGCAGAGCGCCAGCTGAGGTTCAGGGGCGAGTGGGAGGGGTCGCAGGCGGGTGCGAGGCGCGGGCTACGCGGGGATGGAAGGACGTCCAAGCTGCAAGTGGGGCAGAGCCAAGGTTCCTAAACCGAAGACTTCCGGCACTTCGAAGCCCGATGGGCCCTAGAAGCTGCCACTCCCACGCCAAGAACATCCTGAAGAGTTTTTTACAGAAACTCCTGGGTCTCCTGAGTCTGCTGAAGCGACAAAGCCCCCTATATAACCTCCGCAAGCGATTCTGGAGGACTTGCCTCCGGCGCGGCGAGCTGGGACCCGCCTTGAAGCTTTGTGCTGAGAGCGGCCAGGCGCTGGTGGCTTTCGGATGGGGCCGCTCTGGTTCGGGGTGAACTGAGGCAACTAAGGCTTCGATGTGTTTTTTGGGGGCTCTTTTTTGGGGCTGAAGTGCAAGGGGGTGGGGGTTCCTCTGGCTTGAGGCTCAGGATGCTTGGGGCGGTGGACATTTCAGGAATTTGGCTATGAGGATGAGATTCTGGGGCGTTGGTGCTTCGAGTCTAGGGGAACTTCGCGAGCCTTCTGGAGGCTTGGAGAACGGCGCTCCTTCAAGGCATGCTGCCTTTCTGCGAGGCCCCCCCCCTGGCTGGAATGTAGGATGACGTAGGGCAAGGGCTCAAAATCGCCAGGTAGACTGGAACATTTGAACCCCAAGCACAATACGTGCGCAAGGGACAGGGTTTTCCGCCATTGTGCCATACCCGAGATCCCCTACGTGGCACCGTCGCTTGAGAGCAAAACGTGCCAAGGTTAGAGCCCTGTGGAAAGCAGGCTCATTGCTCAGCTGGAATCAGAAGCGTAGGCTTCTGTGCCACCACTCTACCAGCCTGCAGCAGAAGCTCCTGCTCTCTATGGGCAAGCAAGGGAAACCATGGGCCCCTTCGGATGGCAACTGGCAGCTTTGGCGTGGATCGTGGCAGCCACAGCCCAAGCAAAGCCCAGCCAAGCCTCCTTGGAAAGCTGGCAAGGGCAAGCAGAGCGAAGCAGACTTTCCAGCTTACGATGCTGTTCCTCTACCATCACAGTTTGGCAAGGGGAAAGGTGGGAGCCAGGCGAATATTATCCTGGACGACGACGATCCGGGAGCCTTTATGGTCCCCAGCCTACAGAAGGCGCTCAATACGGCGCGCAAGGCAGAACAGAAATTGCAGAAGATCTGCAAGGACAAAGAAATCTCCAGAAAGCAATGGACTGCCTACGTCGAGAAGTCAAAAGCAGCCTACCTGAAGGAGAAAGATCGACACCAGCAGGCGCTGGCAAGCTACGACAAGGAGATCGAACTCGCCAGGGCGGCACAGGAAGATGCGAGGTTGGCCCTCATCGAGACGGTCGACAAGCACACAACCACTCAGATGGAACCGGACACTTCTGCAGCGACGACAGAGTGGGAAGAGATGGTGGATGCGTGGGACCAAGAGCAAGCAGAACAATACGATGGTGTGCTCCGCAGGGCTATGGCGGAATGCCAACGTTTTCTGCAGCCTGCCCAGACGCCCCAAAGACGTGCAGAACGAGTTCCACGATCGCCAGTGCCTGGCCAGTCCGGTCCGACAGTCGTTGAAACAGCAGAGGCCGAACATGCTGCAGAGACTGTGAACTATGCGGCGACCACTCCTGGAGGTACGACTGCCCTGAACGACCCATACCTGGCCACTTCGCCGGTCCTGCAAGGGCCAAATCCGGGGGAAGCCAGACCGCCGGGGCTTGGAAGGCCTTCGCCTCAACACCCGGGACAGAAGACAGATGGTGGACAACGCAAAGGGGTCAAGGATGCGACAAAGGCCCCGCCGCACCAGCAGGATGTCCACAGCAAGATCGAGGAGAAGCTACACCAGAAGAGAATGGCTTGTGCTCCTTTTGGGATCCCGATGACCCTTGGGCCGAAGCCAGCATCAGCAGGAGAAAACCTGCAAGCAGAAGTCAGGGATGCTTCATTCATCGACGACGATCCAGACCTGGACCTGGAGATGGAGGACCCGAATGCCCCGGCAGGCCTCCACTGATCAGGGATACGATAGCCAGCGAGCCCTGCCTATGGGGCCCGCACATTTGGATATGTCTATGCCGCTTGGGATGGTGGCATTCTGACATGTCCTATGTGCAGTTGTCCCCTGGGTTCAGCTGGTGCTGTGCTACGGACTTCCCGAGCAGTTTTGGAGCCCTACAAGTGAGAAACCAGGTCTGTAAGAATGGTTGTACAGTGCTATCCAGTCTTTGGTTTGGGATGTACAAAGACTGTAGCTGTACATGCATTTGTCAGTTTTCATTCCGAAATCGGGCGGTACAGAGAGTCGGCCCCTATGATCTGAGGCAGTGCCGGATTTTCAGCAGGCTCCTTGCTTGCCACTCATGCTTGGTTAGTTGCAGCCAATGGAAAGTGCCTAAGAGAAGTATCGGTGGCTCGGGGACTTCCACTTTCCACTGCAACGACAGCCGCGAAGATGCTGCGATCCCAGATGCAGCTAAGCCCGGAAACATCAAGGATCCTGCTCGCCAAAAGCCCCCTTTTTGGGTCTATAGTTCCCCTTTTGTTAGGGCCATACAATTTTGTCCCACTGCAATACCCTACCTCTGGGAAGCACCTAAGAAAAGCATCGGTGGTTCAGGGGCTTTCGCTCCCAGTGGAGGAAGCATGCAGTTGGTGATCCATAATGCGAAAGGCAGCTTTCTTGCTGCAATGCTTTTGCAGCTGCAGGCGTACATTTATGGCCTCGTTCGCAGTTCAGCACTCTGTGTGCTATGCCTCTGTGCCTCCTTGATCTACCGAGGTTTGCAAGCACCAAGGAATAGGCACGCACGAACCTTCCGACAAGACGGCAATCTTGTACCTTCTTGCTTGTTTCCCCTCCTCAGCTGCGCCTCACCCACTGAGCAAAAGAGGCTTGAAAGCTTGTACCACTGGGCGCCCAATCGCAAATGCATGGGACGAAGCGCCAGGATACATGCCAGACGACCCTTTTGGCTGAGGATGCTAATGCTCCTCAATGTGCCGCATCTTGTTTGGGCCGCACCAACAGGCGTCACAGAACTTGCTGCTTTTGCTGATCAGGTCGGCGCCCTAGATGCAGCACAATTATTTGGAGATGCCATTGGGTCAGAAGATATGCCGGACGAACCCCTGCCCCATCCCAATGTCGGAAGAGATGGGAGTCAAGAATTGGGGCTGCAAATCTGGGCCCCACATTATCAAGTAACATATGCCAGCGTCCTTGTTCCCGATGGAGACTCTGGAGACACAATCATCGCAAAGGCAGCCGAACATGCATCCCAGGCCTTCCACCACGATTTCACATCAGTTGCACCAGTCAAAGCGATGCCTCATGCAGGCTTCGCCACTTTTGTGGCGATCCCTGATTGCCTTGACGCAGCAGATAGAGTAGTGGTGTTGCTTGATTTTGGGATGATTGCTGGACAGCGCTTCTCTTGTGTACTGCCAGCTCAGCTGTCATATCGTGACATGATTGACTTTGTTGCACCCATTGCTGGCAAAGATCGAGGGCAGACCGAAGTGTTTATTGACCTTGACCAGGTGCCACATCAGAGAGGTCAGGATATCACTCTCAGGTCTGGCTCAGTTGTTACGGTTGCTCAAACAGGTGACCAACCTCCGCCGAGGGTTGATTGGCCTCAATTACTTGCCCAGCGACACACCTGGGTTGTTGCAGAAAACCCCCCTGACTTCCAGCGTGCAAGAGGAGTATGTTTACTGTACGAGCATCAGAGGTTCTTTCTTGATAGGTGGCAATTCCCCGGCCAGACCCCTGAACATCTTGCAGCCCGCTGTGTAGGACTGCCACAACAACAGGTTTTCTTGCGAGCCGCTCGTGCCCCAGCCCTGCGGGATGTGCTTTTGCAGGGGCAAGCATGTAGAGGAGTCGCAAGTCTGATTGATGCCCCGCCGGCACCAGACCCGTTGCCAGGCTATGAGGCCAGACCTGATAATGTGCTCTTTCTAGATTTTAGACCGTGTGGTGAAAAACCAAAACACCACTTCCAGTTGGGCCACACAAGGCACATCAATTCGGTTTTAAGTCTTTTAGGCCCTCCCCCACCCGTTGGGTTCCGTTTTGCTGTTGAAGGGGGACAGCAGGAGGGCGGTTTTCTGACCACTGACTCAGGAGACACTGTCGTCGTCAGAGCAGTCAGACAAGAGCATGCACCTGTGTCTGACAATCTTGAGACGATGCCAAATCAGGGTAGGCGAGGACCTCCTCCTCCAGATGGTTATGAGGACCCAGGTTCCGATACTGATGCCAGTCCTGAAAACGCACAAGATGCCTCGCAGCACAGGGAAAGAAGCCGTTCGCTTGAGAGACCGAACGCGGCCCCCCATATGTCGCGAGCTTATAAGATGCATCAAGGGAGCCCCCATGGAAGGAAGACAGAACGCGCGCAAGGTGCTAGACTCGGCCTTGTGGACACCCTTACCAATGCGTTTGTTGATCTTTCTGAGGCCGTGCTCAGTTGCACTTTGCTCAGTGTCGGTGGCCTCTGCAAGCTCGCTTGTGATGCTAGTGCAGGCTGGCAAAGTGATGACATTGCCAGTGCACCATTTGTGCCCATCAAGATCAGCTGCATTTCCGAATGGTTCTTTGCATGTAAAGGCCCTTCTGCTCCGACTGCCAGTGCAGGTCAGGCTGAGGTTGAGGCGCATCAGCAAAACTTGCTGCAGACTGCACCGGCCGAAGGCCCACAGCCTTATCAGGCACCTGAGCAGACCTTCACTGCTCCACAACCTGAAGTTGCGGTTCAGGACGAGCCAGTGCCCTATCGATCTTGGAAGTTCCTCGTTTTGGGACCCAATATCAGCAAGGAATATGTGGATTTGCAGCTTAGGGTACCATGTACCGTGCAACGGGCCCTGGAAGAAGTCAGTGAAGCCAGAAATGACAATCGGCAATGGCTATACGGGCTCTTGGCACCAGTGACGCCCCAACCTGCAGACGATTTTGCCACTCTCATTGCCTTGCCAACTTGGGCTTCTTCCAAAACGGCAGTCTGTATGGACACCAGGCTCTGTGACGGCCGTATCTTCTGCATTGTCTTGCCAGGCCGATTCAACAGAGAATCTCTCCTCCGCATTGCTGGAATTGCCGATTTACAGGGGGTTGAGGTTTATTGTGGGGATAGTTGGGTACCTTTGAGAGCAGGGGAGCTGATAGACCCTCCACATGGCACCCTGATCACTTTTGTCCCACACACCCAGCTCTACCGGCCTGGTTTTTCTCTGCAACAGATGCTTTTGAGGCATGCCGGTGGAAACACCCAGCCAGAGATGCCTACCGGCAACATTGGCCGATTTTTCTGGATCCTAACCGATGCCTGGCCAGTACTCTTTGATGCTCGGCATGCTACACGCGACACTTTCCAAGCAGCCTTGGCTGTAGAGCTCCGAACTGTGATCGGTGCCCTTGCGGTCCAAACACCCAAACCCATGATTGGGGACTATGACCACAATGGCAGGCATTGTGAGAAGGTCATCGTGGCTACTGAGCAAATTTGCAGGGTACCTGTGCCTCCAGGAAGACGCATCCCGCCTACTGATATTTGTGTCCTGGACCTGCGCCCCATCTTGAAAGGGCTGCGATGGCTGTTGGTTCACAAGCGTAAAATCCATCTAGAGCCATTAGTCACTGAACTTTCTGATGGAGCGCCAGATGGCTTCAGGGTCAACATAGCCGGAGGATCCATCGAGCACACAACACATGGCACATACATCCAGGTTGCGCCTGGCCAGGCCCTCATTGCACACTTTTTGCGTGATGCACCGCCTAGCGAAGCAGGCAGTGATGCCTTTCACTCCTCCTGGGATTCAGGATTAGGCGGAGATACGGACAGCGATGACTCTGATCAGGATATGGGTCATGACGATGATACTCAAGTAGTTGATGCTGCCCAGGGGCATCAAGAAGGCGGAGAACAGGCCGACCCTGAGCCTACTCAGGATTATGGGACACCCAATGACGAAGTCCAGCCACATCAACATGGCCATGATGATGTAACCAAGCCTTTGGCTTGGGCACTTTACGCCTGGTGCTTGAGAGCTCTGGGTTTGTGCCTCTGCCTCTTGATTGTGTGCTGCTGGCAAGCTAAGGGCCTTCAAGAACCCCAGCCAGATTCCCTGCAATCCATGTCCAGGCTGGATGATCCCAGGCAGGTTACTAGACGCTTTGGCCATCCCTGGCCACATCTGCACTGGACAGGAGCCCCGCAAGAGTCGCTTGAAATTGATCGCGAATCAAGCGATACTTCAGCGAGTTTCCATTCCTTTGTTGCCACACTCTTTGTCTTCAGAGTTGCGTATCAGCCAGAGCGTTTTTTCATTCATGTTGACAACCCTGAGCATGTTGAACAGCTCGAAGTCACTGTCAACACAATCCGTGATCCTGAAGCAAGAGAAGATTTTCCTGTCCTGATACAAGCCTACCCACAGCCCCACCGAGAATGGGGAGCTTTGCTTGCCTTACCCTGGTGGGATTCAGCGGCACACCTGGTCCTATTGGACTTGCTTCGAATCGATGGCCGTATCCTTGCGGCATGTGTGCCCGACATTATTAGCAGAGATGATCTGCTGCAACAAGCTGGGCTTGATCCCACCAGCGACGCTCAAATCTTCCTAGGGGATACCGAGGCTCCCCTTGAACATGACCGTGTAGTGCAAGTCCCGACTGGAACTTGCATCACCTTCGTGCCGGGATATGGGGTTCCACCGCCGGTTTTCACTTTGAGGGAAATGCTGCGAAATGCCTTTGGGTGGGCTGAACATGAAGTTGAATTACGGGTCCAGGCTGGGATCTCGTATCTCCTTGTTTCCTTCAGAGGCACTTTCTTGCACTTCCCCGACCTTGGCAGCCCAATGCATGTCCGGGACGAAATCGCTGCTACGATAGGATGTAGGTCTGCGGACCTACTCTTGGGCCCCGCCCAACCACGAGTCCATGATGCCACCATCCAAGGCTTTCCGTGCGCTACTGTACTCGCAGCTTCGCCACGTTTTATCGATGTGTTGGATCGCAGATGCTTTTGGGCCATTCTTGATGCCAGAGCCTTGCAAATAGGATGGATCTGCTTAAAGGTTGTTGCTGGCGTTGTCTCGGTCGCTCCTTTGCTTGATCGCCTCCGTGAGAGGATTCCCGGTTGGCTTGAGATTTTCTTATCAGTTGTACCGGACTCGGCTGGCAATCTACACCTTGAGCCAGGACAAGTCCTGCAAGCAAGATGTCGTCACAGACCTGCGAACATGCCCTCAGGAATTTCTCACTCTGTTGGGAATACTGAGGATTATGACGCGACTGGGCAGGACAACGGCGCAACGAGCAGTGATATATACAGTCCAAGGGATGCACACTCCGACGCGGTGCATGCACAGGAACCTGCGATCAATGGCGAGGGTGCCCACAGGACCGCCAGGGCCTTCAGTTGGAAGACTAGTCGCAAGCCCAGCCTCAAGTGGACCAAGAGCACTCTGCATTTCTTTCTCTTGGCCGCACTGTTACTGCAGACCGCTCAGGCGATGCAAACCCAGGCTTTTGAGCGATGGAACAGGTGGCAGAACAGCCATAAGCCGCACGAGCTTGTTGAGATCCCTCCACCCCTACCCACACCGTGCAGGAGTCGTTGTGCTCCTCTGCCTGACCTCAAGCTTGGCACATTTGCGAATGATGATGGGGACACGAGCTTAGGCTTTGACCAGGTCGCTTTTTCAGCCAGCGAAGACCTTGCCATCTCACCCCCAACTGAGGAAGAGTTAGAGGATTTTGAAGTTCTATCCACTCTTCTTGAGGATAGTGTCAGACAGCCAGAATCTCGAGCTTTCTTCCTTGCAGCCACTCTTGTGGAAACATTGTCTGAGCACTTTCAGAGCGAGGCCCAAGCCCGCCAGTATGCCACTACTGCGGTTGTTGTTGCCGATGGAGGCAGGCAAACTCTCAGCCTCGAGTCTGCCCTGCCGCTGCGACCAGAAGAAAGTAAGTTTTATACAGGCAGTATTCAGGCAGCCACTCTTGACTGTTTGCCAGCCTTGCGATCCCTCCCAAGCGATGACGCTGCTAAATTTGGAGGTACTGATTTGGGTTTCACTTGGGGTCAACTTGTGGAGTTCCTCACCATCCAACCCCGCTTTGAAACTTGGGAAGCCTTCTTCGGTGAGGAGGATGTCATCCCTCATGCAGACCCGCCCTCTTTACATGTAGCCATGTCCAGGTTGGCGCAGACCACTGCCGATAGGCTGCTGTGCTGCTATACGGACGGCTCATTCTTCCCTGCGAGAGCCAATGCCCCACCCAAGGCAGGTTGGTCTGTCATATTTGTCGACCCCCACCAAGGCACTTTTGCTATCTCTGCGGGGCCCCTTCTTGAGCCTTTGCTGGGACAAGGCGTGCAGATCTCCCCATATCAGGCGGAGTGCTGTGCTCTCGCAGTCGCTGCGACCACTTCAGTGCTTTCATTCGCAGACAGACCGATCCGTTTTCTGTCTGACTGCACTGCAGCTCTTGGCGCTGCTCAAGGACAATGCGGCTATGCGACAGGCGGCCTCCCTGAGGCACTAGCAGCTGCCTTTGACTTGAGACAGAGAGGGTGCAACCAAACTGACCAGTTCGCATATGTTCCCGGTCATCAGGGTGATTTCTTCAACGAAGCTGCTGACATGCTTGCGAAATGGGGGGCGAAGCAGGATGGTGGAGGAAGTTACCAGCAAGGAGCCATGGCTACCCTGCAAGCATGGCTACAAAAGGGTGCTAGGTGCCTGCCCTGGGTCACCTTGGTCATTCAGCAGCTACGTGGATATGCTGAGTTGCCCCCTTTAGGATGCTTGAACCTTGGGTGTGATACTTGGCACGCTGGACTTGCAGACCAGCAGCTTGTCTGTCCATTTTTACCGCCTGGTGTAGGGGAGGAAGCCAAGGAAGATGATTCTTATGATAGATACAAGCTATCATTGCGACTCCTTTCCTACAGCACCCTTTCACTCGGTGGTTGCCTGGAATATGAAGATGGACAGGGGCAGGATGTGTCAGGCCGTCATAGTCGACCAGGCAGAGCAGCCTTGCTTGCCAAACAGCTCGATGACCACAAGGTCACTTGTGCATTCCTCCAGGAGACTCGGTGTCCTGCAGGGACCTCCACTGTTGGAGGCTACTTGAGATACAGTGCCGGAGCTCTCAAAGGCCAATGGGGCACTGAGATCTGGCTCCGAAAAGGGGCCGCCTTTCTTCTTCATGGTAGTGACCACCAGCGCAGTTTGCTCTGTGACAGCAGCAATGTTGCAAATGTGCATGCAGATCCACGCAGGATGCTCCTGCGCATTTCGGGCCTAAAGTTCTCTGTCCTGCTCTGCGCCCTCCATGCACCACAAAGGGCCACGGAAGCGCATGCTGTTGAACGTTGGTGGTCTGAAACACTCGCCCTTCTCCGACAGCACCGTAGGCAGTCGTTGGTCATTGTTGCCGGGGATGTTAATTGTGCTGTTGGCTCGGTTGTATCGGCCGAGATTGGCGACTGTGGTGCTGAGGAAGAAGATGAGCCTGGGACCAAGTGGCGAGCTCTTCTCAAAGAACTCGATTGCATTGCTCCATGCACTTTCCCAGCTTATCAGATAGGCCCCACTGAAACATACCAGCACAAACGAGGGGGCGGTCTCTCTAGAAATGATATGATTGCGATCCCTCAGGCTTGGGTTCGAGGCGCGGTTTCTGCCTGGGTTGCCCATGATGTGCACGTTGCATTGGCAACACCAGATCATTTTGCCACTTGTCTTGAGGTCAAGGTTGACCTAGCAGCGGCTGAACACTCTTCCAAGACAAGGAGACGTGTATATCCGTCATCTCTGTTCACTAACCCGGCACACCAAAGCCAAATTCAAGAGGCTTTTCAAACCCTTCCCAGCGTGCCCTGGTGTGTGTCAGCCCATGCACATGCAGCTATTGTTGTGTCCCACCTACAGGCTGCATTTGACCGCCTCAAAGGGCGCCGCACCCCTAGGCCACGCCACCCGTACATTACTGAAGCCACATGGGTTGTTCAGAGACAGGTCACCAACTTGAGGAGGCAATTGCAGCATCTCAAAACCAAGAAGTTTGGACAGTTGCTCATTTTCTGCTTTCAATGTTGGTGTGACATTATCTCCAGTGGTGACCCCGACCGAATTGTTGTCACAGGGGAGTTGTGGTTCGGTTGGACCTTTAGGGTTGTAGTCCACGAGGTGCTAAATCTTGTTCGCTTGAGTGAGAGAAGCTTGTAAGCGTCTCCGACGCTCATGCAGCAAAGACAGAGATGATTATATCTGCCATTTGACTGATGAGGTTGCGAGCACGCCCATCAGCGAAGTGCATGCAGCCATCCACAAGCTTCTCTGCCACAAGAGAAAGAAGCCTTACAGTTTGGAGCCTCTCCCGTGCATCCAAGACAAGCACGGGCAAGTTTGTCCAGATGCAGACTCCACCAAAGCAAGGTGGAGAGAACATTTTGCAGCCATTGAAGGTGGAGTTGAGATTACTCCCCAGTCACTTGTTGACGAAACTGTTCATCAGGCACCAACCACTATCTGGCCTCTCCCCGCCAGTGCGCCCGATTTACCGAATTTCTGCGACCTCCGGAGACATGTTCGTGCAGCTAAGTCTGGGAAGGCTCCCGGCATGGATGGTTTGCCCAATGAGCTTCTCCGATCTTTCTCCCAACAGAGCACTCTAGCGATTCTGCCGCTCATGTTGAAGTTCATCTTCCGGGGAACTGAAGCTGCAGGATTCAAAGGAGCCGAAGCTATTAAGTTTTACAAAGGCAAAGGATCGATGCAGCTCTGTGAGAACTTCAGGTCGATACTTCTGATGCCTGCCTTTGCCAAAGCCATACAGCAATCACTCCGACCCCAACTCAGGGATCTCTATGTGCAACAGACGCCCGAATTGCAATTGGGAGGCAAACCACGCAAGAGCGTGGTTTATGGCTCGCATGTGTGCAGGAGTTTCCTGAGGTGGACAGCAAGCACGTCTACTCCAGGCTTCATCCTCTTTGCAGATATCTCTGCTGCTTTTCACTCAGTCATCCGACCGCTCATTGCTGCTAAAGCCAGAACGCCAGGTCAGCCGGACGCAAACCAGGAGGACCTTGACCTGTCTTCTCTCCCAGATGGCGATGTGGCCGCGATTTTGCAACACATGCAAGAGCCAACAGCCTTTCGGGAGGCTGGAGCAAGCGAGTGGCAAGAGCAGCTAGCCAACAAGCTCACTGAGTCGACATGGTTCTTGATGCAGGGTGATCACACCCCTGTTTTGACGTCGCGAGGGACCCGTCCAGGGTCTACAGCAGCGGACCTGCTCTTTGCCATGGTGGTGCAGAAAATCCTAAGGCGGAGAGATGCACTTTGTCAGGGTCTTCCAGATGCGCCGGTTGTACCCTCTGTGCCGTGGGACTCTGTCCTTTCGCTTGAACCGCCTTCAGATGGTGCTCCTAGTGTTCCTCTCGATGATCTCATTTGGGCTGATGATATCTCTTGCATGCGGATTTCCAGCAGCCCGCACCGCCTGCCCTCCAATATTGGGTGTACGGCAGGAGTGCTCAGTGACGCATTCAATGAGTTCGGGTTCAAGCTCACGTTTGGACCCACAAAAACAGCTGCTCTTGCTCAGGCCATAGGCCCAGGAGCCAGACAAGCAAGAAAGACCTTGTTTTCCAAACTTGGGCTGGCTGGGCAAGTATGTGTCTTGAGGGAAACATCTGGAACCGTCTCCGTGCCTTTAGTTGCAGCTTACCGGCATTTAGGTGTGAAGCACTCCTGCCGCGGTGGCATGTGTGCAGAGCTCCGCTACCGTGCAGCTCAAGCGCGTACGGCGTTTCAGGAGGGACGCCGGAAGGTCTACCGCGTCTTGAGGATACCGTTGAAGCGCAGAGCTTTCATACTTACGAGCACGGTGCTTCCGAAACTCCTCTTCGGAGCTGGCAGCTGGCCCCCGTTGAACCAGAAGGAGTACTCCATAGTGTCTGGGGCACTTTGGACCTTCTACAGAGCCCTCCTCGGAGTCAAGAGCCATGAAAACCAGAGCTGGGCCGCTCACACAGTTTTGGCCTTGACAGGCCTCTCAGGTCCGCAGGTCACCCTGTATTGCGCAAGGCTTCACTACCTTTGCCAGCTTTGCAGGTCAGCGCCCCCGGCCCTCTGGGCTCTGGTCAAACTTGACCGGCCATACGCGGAATCCCTCCAAACCGCGCTGGCCTGGTTGTACAAGTGGACATATGCCACCTCGCCTTTGCCCAATCCGCTCGAGCAATGGCCACCTTGGCTAAAGCTCGCCACCGACACGCCCAACAAGTTCAAAGGTTTGGTGCTCCGTGCGCAAGGCCTTGAGAGCTGCAAAAGTCAGGTAATTGCGGCATACGACGGTCTGCACAAGGCCCTCCAATGCTGGATACCTTGCCATGCCCCGCCAGATGAAATTGAGAAGGTCTCAGGAGATGCTGAAATATGCATTCCTTGTCGTCGTCTATTTCAGACGCGACGGGCATGGGCGGGTCATGCAGCGAGAAAGCACGGATATCGTACGGTATCCCATTTGGTCGCAGAGTCTCCCTTCTGTTCAGGCTGTGGAAAGACCTACGGCAATGTAGGTAGGCTCAGACGTCACCTTGTGCACAGTGCTGCTTGCCTACTGGCATGGGGGAGTTGGCAAGAACCAGGCTTCAGCACAGCTGAAGCTGAGGTGCATCCACAAGCACCGCCCGTCAAGGTGCCAGGACTGTTGCCTAGCATCCCATACTTACATTTCACCCCAGGGGTTTCAACGCAGCTCCTCCAAGACTTGAGGCAGCTAGGCCCAGGGGACCCTGATCTGCTTTAGGAGGCGATAGCTCAGGTCATTGAGCCAGTCCAGACACTTCGGGACACCGTCAAAGCTTGGCGGGATTCTGAGCCAGAAGATCTTCTGGTCACCGAGGCCGCGAATGATCTGCTGCTTCTTTTGGATCCTGAATTATTGGCAGATTCGGTGCAGCCTGCACCACAGCAGCGGCAATTCCCTGCAGACACTGAGCCATTTTGGACGGATATGCCGAATATCGGTATGCCTGCTGCAGGAGACATGATCCACTTCCAGCTGGAGAGCCCACCCCCGAGAGCCCTTTCGCCCTTCGGAGCGACGAGCATGCGTCTACGAGAGGCCAAGGCCTTCGCTGACTGGGCCGAGCAAGCATGTGCCATGATTGTGCAATGCCTTGTAAACGCACAAGGCCGTCCTTTTCAGGTGAGGTGCCCAGGCATTGCTGCTGGACTAGGTCCTGCGGCTCAATGGCTGCGTGCGGTTGGCATTGCGATTGACGATCAGGGGCTGACTCTTGCTCTTTGAGATTTTCCAGCTGTTTCACGCTTTTCTAGGTCTGAATTCAGGTGCAATGCGTGCGTCAGAGCTCTGACCCGACCGCGACGAATGGAAAATGGACGTAGGGCAAGACATGCTACTGCCACTATGTGTGGTGATTTTCCTAGTTCTACTACCGTTTAGCAACAGCGACGACGACAACAACTACTACGACAACTACTACAGCCACTGCCACTAATGCTGCGACGGCAACGACTACAAACTACGACTGCGACGACTACGGCTAAGACAACTGCAGCGACAACGACTGCTGCTACTACCCCAGCTACACCTACCACTATCTGGAGCACGTGTGCTCTGCAGCGAAGCCACGTTTCATGACCGGCAATGTGAGCACGGATCCAGCTTACAGCATGCATGGTCTTTGCAGACTGTTCAGCCATTGGCTCACCTCAGGCTTTACTGAATACTTCCAACTACACCAGGGAAGGATGAAGTTCTTGCAGAGAGAAATGCAAAAACTTGACGACATCGGCGTTGGGGTCGCTAGAATTATTCCCGTCCCGAGACGGACTCTGACGGACCATGTCCGGGAGGCTCAGCTGCCAGACCCCGTGAAGAAAGCGGATCTTGATCTCATCGGGCGCACGGATGACTTTGACAATGCAGCGTGTGGCTTTGGCCCAGTCAATGGCTGGATATGGGTGGCAGAGCACTCTCGCAAGGAGAACGGTTTGTTTCACGCGTGCAACTGCGGTGTTCGGAGCTTCCCCTTTCCAGACCCACACCCACTTCCCCGGCCCCCATCAAGACCACATCCAGACTTCAGATTCAGTCTGGCTGACTGGATGGGCTCAATGCAGATTGGTCACTTGACCTTGCCAAGCCTCTGCCTGCCCGGCACGCATGACTCCCTGACCTATGACCTCTCTGACCACCCGGCCAGAGGCGACACCCTCCCCGAGCTTATGTTTTCTCTCCCCAGGCCAGTCACAAGTTTCATCATGAGGGAGCTGACAGTAAAGTTGGCTACGTGCCAGAAGATCACGATCCGAGAGCAGCTCGATGCCGGCATCCGCTTCATTGACTTCCGAGTCATTTGGTCTCCCGATCGTGGGATGTGGGTTGGAGTGCATGGTGTGGAAACCCGTGATCGAGCCTGGAGCTACCTCATGCAGCTTCGAGATTGGCTCGAGCATCACCCGGGGGAGATTGTGGTCTTGTGGCTGTCCAGGCACGGAAATGAGAAGGAGAAGGGAGAGGAGCAATACCCTCACCGGAGCCCGGAGCAGAAGCAAGACTTCTTCGAGCAGATCTTGGAGGTCTTCGGTGGTCTGCTGGTGCATCATGACCAGACACCTTTGCACAACACTACCATTGATGCTCTTGTGGCCCAAGCGCGCCGGGTGGTCCTGATCTGTTCGGACTATGTGGAGTTCACAGGAAGGTCCCCGTTTGCGCTGGACGCAGCGGATAAGCTTGTGAACGCATTGCCGGGTGGCTTGGACGACCCCGTGCTGGATGAATTGAAATATTTCAGCGAATTCCAACCCTCCAGTGACAAGTACCACATTGCTTCGCTTGCTAACAGCGCCGACATGGGGGCCGCCTTCAAGCAGGTCAAAAGCAAGATCCCATTTCCTGCCCGTGATCTCCCTCAGAGCAAATTCGAGAACGTTCCTGGGATGAAGAGCAATCCTTGGAGACTGGATGATACCGCCAGATTCACCAACTACTATGCGCAGATAGTGCTTGAGCTTGCATGGTGCAGTAGCAAATTCCCTCAGGCCATCTACCTTGACATGGTGACCAAGGACGGCGGCATGGAGATCGGCACAGGAGACAATGACAAGTTCGGCTACGTCCACACGATCCTGGCCTACAACGCGCGGGTCTCCGGAGACCGGGACTTGTTGGCAAACATGATATCGCGTAAAGCTGAGATACCACTTAAGACCTGGGAAAATCGCGAGGACGGCCGCTCAGAGCTTTGGCCCTTGCATCCCATGTAGTTAAGCTCAGTGGGAAATGCCTGGCATATGGAAGGACACGGCTCTCAGTGTGTTTTCATGTTTGTAGGATTCGACGTCTCTCCAGACATGATGTTCAATGGTTACGTGCTTCCGAATGTTTCGTCCAAGCCAATATGCCCTTTTGATTCCCACTTGTACAGACATGTTCATCGGTGGAAATGTCCACCTGTCGCCCTTCACCTTGAGGGACTCTCCAGCAGCACCCTACGCACAGCAGGGCCAGTAAATCGCGGAGGGGCCCTGCTCCCCATGGGACGCGGAAGGCTCCTGGCGGGCCTCTGCTTTGGGAGTTTCCGAAGATGCAGAGAAAAGTTTGCCGTTAGCGTGTCCTTGTCCGGTGCTCTTTTGCTCAGCTGCGGCTCCTCTAGGGGCCTCCAGCCCGGCCCCCGGCCATCGTCGTGCACGACGACGACGACGACTATTGCTGCTGCTGCTGCAAACTCCTGCTGCTGCTGCTGCTGCTGATGGCTGCCACTACCGCGACGACAACTGCAAATGTTCTTTCCGCATCAACTTCTGCTGTACCTTACCCCTGCTACGACAGAGACGACAACTACACGCACCACGAGTCATGATGGTATTCAGTACTGGCGTTGTGCTATGACTCTCACTTTCGTCCCCATCGTTCTCATGATGATGCGAATGACTGTGGCAATGACGGGGTTGGGGGTCACGTGAGCGGTGACGGCTACAAATGATGGTGATGCTGGTGCCGGTCATAGTGAAACATGGTCGATGTGTGTAAGCAGCGAAAACACGAAAGGACGGATTTTTTCTGAGTGTCTGTGGTTCTTCTTCGCCACCTCTGAATTGTTGCTGTTGCTGTTAGCGGCTTTATCGGCGTCGCCACCTGAACAAACTCTAGGCCCTAGGCAGCATTACAGAAAATCAAGGTGGTGCCGTCGGAATGATCCTGGCATTTTGCCAAGCCCAGCAGGAGCCGGCTGGTGACTACGAGTCTGCAGCGGCAGCCGGCCCCGACGAGACCGTCGAGGCGAAGAGCTTTCAAAAGCGCTCAAGAAGTTCCAGGGGTTTCAGGGGTTTTTCTGCGAGCTTTGGGGGCCTTGGGCTCCTTTCACGGGTTTCGGATTCAGGGCCCTGAAGGGCTTTGGAGTTTGGGGCTTTGGAGTTTGGGCCTTTGGGGTTTAGGCTTTGGCGTCTGAGTGTTCACTGTTGAGCGCTGGCTTGTATTGTCTTGCATGATTCCGGAGCCAGTAGGCATTGTCTATCGGCCGTGCTGCTGCCAAGAGCCCGGAGACCAACATCGCCGGCAGACCTACATTCTTAGACCCTCATGGGCATGGGCTAACCCTATGCTACAGCCTCCCTTTAACCTTCACTCCCACTGGCTCCACCCGGTGAAGGTGTTCTTGACGCAGGATGTGCAGGAAAGGAGCAACAGACCAAACCCGAAGCAAAGTCCGAACAGGAGATGTTGGCGTTCATGAAGGAAGAGCATTCCGCCCCTTGGCCTCAAATCAACGGGCAGAAGCCTGGCCAAAAGGCCAAAAAAGGAGACTTTGTCAGGACTCTTCTGGGCATCTTTGTCTTTTGAAGAACTGGCATGATGTGTCCCAGCATCATGTTTAACCGCTGGTTGTTGCTTGTTTTAAGTAGCCATTTTGCCACCATGATCATCCTTGTTACCGTTGGTGTTAGCATGCTGATTGTTGGTATGCTCACAATCATAATCCTTGTCAGTGCAAGGTCATCTTTCACATCTCAGCCCTGCGCCCGTAACGCGCCCAACGTAGGCTAAATCCCTGCACCTGAACGGATGTGTTTGTGCACCCAGGGGTGCCTTGCAAGATGATCTACGATGCCAGAACAGGAGATTGCGCACTTCTTCGTCCTTTGAATCCATCGATTATCACGATTATCACGATCTTCCTCTGTGCTACGGTATGTTGCCTTCTTTAGCAGTGCAGAAGGTCGGGGCTTCAAGTCTTGGGGGGGCGACCTGGCAAACGTAAGTCCCGGAAGCATTAGTGTGGCGTACAAGATCTTCTACATTTGTCTGACGTTCCTCATTCTGAAACCCTCCTACCTCAAGCGGTAAGCCGAAGCCAAGGACTGGACAGACTTTGGCCAGCTTCCTCAGACGAAGGGCAGCCAGGGCAATCCATGGCGCCGGGTCTGGAAGGAAGCAGTTGGAGCTCGTTTTTCACGTCTTAACTCTACGGCTCCAAAGACTCTTAGATACCGACGACGAGCAGCATCGGAGCAGCAGCGAGAGCAAGAGCGAGGGCGAGGGCGATGGCCAGGGCCAGGGCAAGGGCAAGAGCTCAGAAGAAGCAAGCAAGGTTCTTACAACAGCAAGAGCCAGTACTTACAGCACCATCGTTTTGCAGTCAAGGTGTCCTCGCATATATCATCTTCGTCGTGTACACCATCATCATCGTCGTCCTCCTCCTCCTCATCATCATCATCATCATCGCCATATAAAAGAATGATGTGCGTGATCATCATCATGACCACCAGCCGCAGCATCCTTGCCATCACCACCACCATCACCATCATCATCACCATCGTCATCAACAGCATTTTCAGCCTCATCTCCATAATCCCGACATCACTCACACCTTCTGCCACATCGTCATGGTGCTGATCACTGCAGGCAATCATCATGTCATCACCACCATTTTCCCTTCTTTGCCTCCACCGTCATATCCCTTGGCCTTGACGTGCCAGTGGTAGCTGTCTGCTTCGCAGCTTCTCAGTGCGACGAGGAGGAGTGCTTCGATGCAGCGGCTCGGAACCTCTTGCCTGGCAGCAAGATGGACTGCCGGTGGGTGCACAGGCTTTCGTGTTCTGCGGCTGGATCGTTTCTGAGATACGCCTGGCCCATTGGCAGCGAATGTGCAACGTCATGAATGCGTGTATGCGTATGAACACATCTCATGTGTGTGTGTACATAAATAAACAAATACAAATAAATCAACATATATATATATGTATACATACATATATATATATAGATGTATGTATACGTGA